GGAAAGCAGTGGGGGGCGGGCTGGGAGCCAGCCAGGGAGACAGGCCAAAGGAACTTCGCCAGGGGTGCAGCCTCCCAACCCTCCTTCCCCGCCCCTGCCAGGACTCCCCCGCTCCCCTGTCTCCCTGGGCACCACCCTCTGCGCCGCACACATGGGCAGACTCGCGGCCCATCTCGCCCAAAGCCTCCACCACCAGGGGCCCGCTCGTTGCATCCATCCCTGGGCGGAATAAATTTTGTTCTGTGCACCGTGGCATGTGGTAGGTGCACCACCAGTAGCCCACCGCCCGCGCTTCCGGGGAGTGGCTTCCCCCCGTTGGAACATTGGGGCAACGCCCTCAAGCCGAGCCGAGCCCACCCCTCCCGGGCAGGACGCCTTTACCTTAGGAAGGGAGCTCACCGACTCGAGCAGCTCGGGGAAGGGTCCCAGAGGCCCAAGCGAGAGCGGGCGAGTGGGGCGGTCGGGAACCTGCTTTACCAGCTGCAGCGACGTCCCAGCCGTGGGTGTTCATCTCGCCGGCGCGTCTGGGAAACAGCCCCAAGCCAGCCCCACCCCAGAGCTGCACCAATCGGCTTCCAGACCACGCCCGGAGCCCGGCATGGGGATGGAGGAGCTGTCTGGAAAGCCAGCCTGGGTGTGGGTCTAAGCGCTCTGCCCGGGGAACAACGGGGCCTGCGTCAGCCCGGAGCTCGGAGCTCATGGGCCTCTCTGGCAGCCTGCGGCCCCGGGACCCCCTGCACACGGAGCTCCAGGGAGGGTCTCTCCCTACCTTTCTCCTTCTCTAGTGGGGGATCGAACCTGCGTCTGCCCCTCCCCTCTCGCCGCAGGGCGGAGCTACCTGGGCGCCAGCTGCTGCTCCTCCACCCCGCGTCTGAACGGGACTGCGCTCGGAGCTGCACGCCGCGCCCGCCTGCCATCTCCGGCCTGGCGCACGCCTGGGGCAGCCCGCGCCGGCCTCCGCCCGGTTCACAGGTCTTTGTGGGCCCGAGCGGAGGGCCCACCTGCCTACCCAGAGGCAGCCGCAGGTGCCCAGTGACGCTTTGGTGCCTACGAAGTGCGGCGGGAGTTTTGCGGATCAGAGTGGAGCCAGAACGTAGGCCCCTAAACCCGGCTCCTTCCTGGCTCCGCCTTCTGTGCCTCGGTTTCCCCTCTCCGGAGAGGGGGTGACGAGCCCCTCCCTGTCCCCCTGGCGAGGTGCAGATAAACACATCATGTTTGCAGGACACATCCCCGTAGTCAGTGCGCCGTGGCGGTGTGTGCCGCTTGCTCCGCACCAGGCAGAGCGCCCGCGGCTCTGGTCCGCCTTGTCTCTTTCATGGCAATCTGGGAGCCGGCGTTTCAGCTTTTAGCCCTTCGGAGCTGGGGGCTCCGGGCTAATAATAATAGAGAGATGTACGTCTCTCCTAGAGCTGGAAGGGACCCCGAGTCCAGTCCCCGCCCTCACGGCAGGACCAAGCTCCCTCCCTGACACGTTTGGCCTGCTCGCTAAATGGCCCCCTTCCCCCTCAAAGCACTGAGCTGGCCGTTCTGTGAGCGGCTCTGGGGGCAGGGCGCGTACCCTGAGAACGCAGGCTAACACGACAGCGAATCTAATCCCCAGCGTGTGGAGTAAACGCAGCAGAAACCCGCGGAAACCAGGCACCAAGAAACCCGCGGAACACCCTGCCCTGGCGCCGGGCGGGACTGGACGCACGTTTCCCTTTAAATCGTCGAGTTAAAGATCCCTTTGGTGGCTCAACACCCCCCCCGCCC